TCTCGAATTCTAGAACTATAATGTGAAATCAGTTTCAATTTGACTTGTGCTCTGGAACTTTCTTTGGGCTCGTTTTAGTCTACAAGAGCTCGTAGAAAAAATGAAGGAGAAGTGATCACAGACTTCAAATTTAGGCAAGTTTATCGATAATACTCACACCTGGAGAAAACTGAGTCTGATCATGTGTAAAAAAAAAATCAACAATTGAGTTAAAAGAGGAAATCAAGTACTAATTCTTAGCAAAATAAAACGATTGTCTCTGAAAAAATTGGGTCAAGACAGTTTGAAGAATTATGAGTTTGAAATAGAACGTGAAATAATTTCAATTAAAAAAATTAGGTTAAGGAAAAAAAATTATAGAACTTGTGCTGAACTATAATTCAGTGGTAGTTTTTCAGCTTGATCAACAGATCAAAACAAACTAAAGGAGCAGTCACAAAATAAAGGAGCAGCAACGAAAGAAAAAATCGCTCAAAATCTTTGAAAAATGTCGCGACTGAGCTCAATTGCTTATGCGTGACAATTTTACCTCGATTCAAAACAACGAAAAGAAGAATGGCTGTACAAATTAGGCGTATAGTTTTTCATATTTTCTTCAGGCTTCTAACCTAGAAACGATTACAAAATTTTTGCTTGGTCAAAAACGTTTACGTTCTAGAAAACTTTTCGCTAATTCACAACAAGCCGAACCAATTGTTCGTTAGGATGGATCAAACTGAGCGTTTTGTTCCAAAAGTTCCCTATTTTTCAGGGGGCTCTTAAGATTAAGAAAATTTTACACTTTGAGAAAAATGACTACAACAGTTTAAAAAAGCTACATTTATTATTTGAGTCTTCAAATTGATTATTCAGATTGCGTTCAAAACATTCGAAAAAAGCAAGCATCGAACATATTCTGGATGTTTGCTCCGAACGGAAGCAGGAGACACAGAGAATTTTGATTGTATATTTTTTCTTTTTACTCATAGTAGCACTGTATAGATCTTCCAAAACGCAGCAAGGGCAAAAACATGTTGCAGAATTAACTTGCTATGTGAAAATCTTCCATAATTTGAAAAGCAAGCGTAGCTTTTCGAGATCTTTTGAAGTTTAATCTGCAACCAGTGTAGCTCGGTTACAGCTGGGGCTTTTTGATTTCTATGTTTCAAGCAGCAAACGCGACCAGCTGCCTTCTGAGTGCGCGGAAGATTATAATTCCGATCAGCTGTCACACCAAAACAGTGGGTGTACAGTAATCAAGCTTTCACATAACAAAATAGCTAGCTAGATGAGCAGCGTTTTCAGATGATAATATTTACATATTTCACAGAGCTGTTTGGTTTCCAATATTATAGTCTCGTTACATGATTTCATTTTTCGTTCATTGATCATCAACAATGACACCATAGCTTCTGCTTTCATTTCTTTAATTCCACCTAGAATTGTCCTTTTTTGAGATGAAACTTTCGGTATTGATTTCAGTGATATGATAGTAATCAGTTTTCAACAAATTATGGGCTAGTCAAAAAGAAGCTAAGACATCTTCACAACTTTCAATCCGCCAATAACTTTTTCAATAATCAATATCGAGAGCCCGAAAAAACGACCCAAAAATGTGTATAATTGGCTGTCGTCGTCATGTTTTTAGTAAGTCACATCAATTTGTATCAGTACATCTCAAATAGAAGAACAAAACTGAACATAAGGAGTCCCAATACAAAACCCGCTTGCACCAATCTTTTCACCTGCATTGGTCCCCCTCGCATAACACTCAATTATGTACGAAACCGGTTAGTAAACTTGCCCCTTGTGTTCGACCTATTTTGCAAACTTGAAACTAGAGAACTGTGATGCAGAGTAACGAAACACACACTCATATAATAATTGCTATGCAATAGAACATTTTCCTCTTTATAAATCTGTGCAGCTTTAAAGGATGTGGTTTTCGGGAGGAAAATTCTAGTTTAAAGCTTAGATAAGTAAGCAGGCTAGGTTAAGCCTACTTGCAACTACTCTGCAGCTTTTGTTACTTATTTTTTCTATCTTGCTGAGTATAGATACGTTTGAATTAAAAGGAACAACTTTTTTGCGGAGGAGCCTCGAAAAATCTAACGCAATCAAAAAATTTAGTCATGAGGCTTTTTGATAATGCAATTAAAAGAAAAAGATTTCTTGGAAAAGGGAGACTAGTCATTCGGATGATGTGCGGTGCAATTCCAAATCATGAGTCACTTCTGTGTCAGGTGCAATTAACCGAATCTCTTGAATTCTTTCGTACACAAGGGCCACCCTGTTGAAAATATCCAATTTGTTGGAAAAAAAACATCTTTTTAACAAGTTTATCATAACAAAGAGGCTCGCTCTTCGGCTCTTTTTGATAAAATTATACAATTAAAACATACGGTAAGATAGGATCAATATTTGAAAACTTTTACAAATATCCACAAATATGATTTGGAAGCTTTGTTGAATAAAATAAAAAACACTCTAGCAGCCATGATTTCCATCTCTGTAAAGAAAATTTATACAGCTGGATTTTTTGCGTTTCACTGTTATTTTATGAAATAAAAATGCAGATGTTATCAACTTCAAACACATCAACTTTTGACGGAGTGAATAAGGCTGCTGCTTTTTCAGTACTTCTTTATTTAACTCTGCTTTCCAACCAAAACTTTCAAAAACACTTTAGGAACCAGTTGTTAAGGGTGAGACTACAAGACTCGGCTATAATTTTTTTGAAACCTTTATCGAAACTTATTTCATATACGTAAAAATATGATAGAAGATTTTTTCATACGACCAGATTTGTTGATAATGAGGCTAGGGACAGGTGAAGGGTTAACGCTGGGAAGATAAGGTAAACACAATAACTAATACTCGAAATGGCTAGATTTTTCATTCACTGATTTAAAATTTTAT